TCAAACCTTGTTTGCCTGTATTTTACAGTATTTTCGTGCAAGACAGTACAATGTTAGTGTGTATATTTACACTTCACTGGACAGAAACTAAAGAACTCGAAACCGCACAGACTAAACATGCATGCGAATTTAAACAAGCTTGGTACAGTAAAGACAAAATTTTTATACACTCCTATATATATATATATATATATATATGCAAGGTGTATATACAACGTACTCTCCCGGCTATCACCACAGTGCAATGGTGACTCCTGCACTTGGGACACAGGACGTACGGTTATATATAACGAAAATAGTAATTATAAAAACCTAACAGGCAATGTCAAACATGCACTATTTTTGTCCTTTCTTCTGATAAGCTCTTCATCCTTCTGTAAAGCTTTTTCTATCTGCTAATTAAGACGAGCATGTTATCTACTTTGAGTTATCCTTGTGCTGGGATTCAATTCACTTGTATTTGGTGAGAATGTGTCTTGAATCTTTATATTCAATCATCTTTATGTTCAGTAAAATCGTAATGCAAAGGCTTAGTCTTTGGCATTTACTTTTCTTGTTGGGATAACGTAGCTCTTATATCTGTCTCAGCTTTGATTGTTAGTATCTCTGGAATATCTTGTCATGTTGTAGTTGTATTGTTAATTCGCTTCATTATTTTTTTGTCTTGCTTCGTAGACTTTGAGTTATCTTTGTGCTGGGATTTAATTCGTTTGTATTAACTTTATGGTCAGTAAAATCGCAATGAAACACTTAGTCTTTGGCATTTAGTTTTCTTGTAGGGATAACCTATGTCTTATATCTGTCTCAGCTTTGATTTTAGTATCTCTGGAACGTCTTCTCTTGCTGTATTGCTATTGCAATTCAATATTCCTATTTATTGTCTTGCCACGTAGACTTTGAGTTATCTTTGTGCTGGGATTTAATTCGTTTGAATTAGCTTTGTGGTCAGTAAAATCGCAATGCAAACGCTTAGTCTTCGGCATTTAGTTTTCTTGTAAAGATAACTTATGTCTTATATTTGTTTCAGCTTCGATTGTTAGTATCTCTGGAACGTGTTCTCGTGCTGTATTGCTATTGCGATTCAATATTCTTATTTTGTTTTCTTGCTTCGTAGGCTTTGAGTTATCCTTGTGCTGGGATTTAATTCACTTGTATTTGGTGAGAATGTGTCTTGAATCTTTATATTCAATCAATAGCTTTATGTTCAGTAAAATCGCAATGCAAAGGCTTAGTCTTTGGCATTTGCTTTTCTTGTTGGGATAACCTAGCTCTTATATCTGTCTCAGCTTTGATTGTTAGTATCTCTGGAACGTCTTCTCATGTTGTATTTCAATTGCGATTCATTATTCTTATTTTGTTGTCTTGCCTCGTAGACTTTGAGTTATCTTTGTGCTGGGATTTAATTCGTTTGTATTAGCTTTATGGTCAGGAAAATCGCAATACAAAGGCTTAGTCTTCGGCATTTAGTTTTCTTGTAGGGATAACCTATGTCTTATATCTGTCTCAGCTTTGATTGTTAGTATCTCTGGAACGTCTTCTCGTGCTGTATTGCTATTGCAATTCAATATTCTTATTTTGTTTTCTTGCTTCGTAGACTTTGAGTTATCCTTGTGCTGGGATTTAATTCACTTGTATTTGGTGAGAATGTGTCTTGAATCTTTATATTCAATCATCTTTATGTTCAGTAAAATCGCAATGCAAAGGCTTAGTCTTTGGCATTTACTTTTCTTGTTGGGATAACCTAGCTCTTATATCTGTCTCAGCTTTGATTGTTAGTATCTCTGGAATATCTTGTCATGTTGTAGTTGTATTGCTAATTCGCTTCATTATTTTTATTTTGTCTTGCTTCGTATACTTTGAGTTATCCTTACGCTGGGATTTATATATCATTATATCCATATACAATTGGGTACATGAAAAGGCTTTATAAGGCTTGTTTCGTCGGTTTTCTTTGGGTGCTTTGCGTTTTGTTGTTTTGTTTTGTAGGTTAATTTGGGTTTCGTTATTGTTGGTCAATTTGGCTATATATATGTTGTTATATTCATTGCGGTATATATCTATCTGTGACTTTCTTGTAAGACTACTGCTTCATTTGTTGGTTGCTGGGACAAACTTTTATTTCCGATCTGATGTTCAGTTTGCAAAATATTTTCAAACCTTGTTTGCCTGTATTTTACAGTATTTTCGTGCAAGACAGTACAATGTTAGTGTGTATATTTACACTTCACTGGACAGAAACTAGAGAACTGGAAACCGCACAAACTAAATATTCATGCGAATTTAAACAAGCTTGGTACAGTAAAGACAAAATTTTATACACTCCTATATATATATATGCAAGGTGTATATACAATGTGCTCTCCGGGCTATCACCACAGTGCAATGGTGACTCCTGCACTTGGGACGCAGGACGTACAGTTACATATAACGAAAATAGTAATTATAAAAACCTAACAGGCAATGTCAAACATGCACTATTTTTGTGCTTTTTTTCTGATAAGCTCTTCATCCTTCTGTAAAGCTTTTTCTATCTGCTAATTAAGACGAGCATGTTATCTATAGCAGTTTAGCCAAAATTGTGAGGATTCCTTTCCAGCTTCAAGTTGTAAATAAAGCTCCAATATACAAAAGCAATTGTCCATGTTCCATTTTACTTTAATCCTTCGTTACGCTCTATGTGATGATTTACTTATTCTTGAATAATTAAAACCATTCTTCTATATAAAACATCGATAAGTCAATATTCGTTTCATTTCTTGATGATTCTCCTCGTGTCCTTTAGTTCCTATTCAGCTCTTCTATTTGTCCTCGCAGAGCACTATCCTCTTTATGTTGTTTGTTTCTTTGCCATTTAGTTTTCTTGTTTGGAAAACATATGTCTTATATGTTTCTCAGCTTTGATTGTTAGTATCTCTGGAACGTCTTCTCATGTTGTATTTCTATTGCGATTCATTATTCTTATTTTGTTGTCTTGCTTCGTAGACTTTGAGTTATCTTTGTGCTGGGATTTAATTCGTTTGTATTAGCTTTATGGTCAGTAAAATCGCAATGCAAACGCTTAGTCTTTGGAGAGAAATGAAAACAGACTAAACATGCTTGCGAATTTAAACAAGCTTGGTACAGTAAACACAAATTTTTTTATACACTCATATATATATATATATATATATATAAGCAAGGTGTATATACAACGTGCTCTCCTGGCTATCACCACAGTGCAATGTTGACTCCTGCAGTTGAGACACAGGACGTACGTTTATATAAAACGAAAATAGTAATTATAAAACCTAACAGGCAATGTCAAACATGCACAAGTAAAATATGACTCCAGTCATTGAGTCAAATCATTTGATTTTTTTGTGTTTAGAGAACAATTCTAGACTTGGGAAACCAAAACCATAGAACTTGTTTAGAAACAAAACCAAATCCACTTTGCTCCCTCAATTACAATGAAATCCTAACATCATTCGCTGTGTCCAGATGCTCAATGGTGATTTATCACAGGCAATAGCCGCAATACATGTAAAACTGTTAAATTCTCATCTCGTTGCTAATTTGGAACTCAAGCAGCAGAGCTTTTTATTTATTTTCTTCCCATAAGGCCATGCATAACTACTTATAGATCGACAAAATCTCCTAGATTATTCTTAATGTGAAGATATGATTCCTGGCACGTCCACAAAAAAAACTAGGACAGTATAGCAGTGAGATATAAAAACAAACTAACCACTTGCTTGTATTTCTATAACATAGGCATGGTAAAAAAATTTGCTTTCAATGCATTCATACAACTGTGTTTTGAAGATTTCTCACCGAACATTTTTGACTTTTTTCAATGTTTATTTATTATCGTTTCGTCCCCTGGACACAAAGGCCCTGCAAAAGGGTAATGGTCATGCCAATGTTTTACCATATCTGCCTTTATCTGGATTGTCTACCTTTCATCACAAGTATAATGACAAAATTTTAAAAGAGCTACAACAAACTACAAAAATAAAACAACGGATTAACTACAAATACATGTTATGTATTGAGAAATTTGCGCCAAGAAAAACTTCACACATATGGTAAAATATTGTTTTAACTATTTTCTGTTGTTGACGCTGAAAGATGTATCACCAAACCAACATTAAGGAAAATATGTTTAATCACGAAATGCCGTTCTGTAGAATATTCAAGGATCAATAAGGCTGAATACAATGAAGTTTTGAAGTGTAATATTATATGTTGATAAATTACATCTAGACTGTATATAAATTGATAGAATACATCTTCCATTTACGAAAATTTAGCACGAGCCAAACGTTGATGACATCTGCTGTTAACAATATTAATCAATAAAAATTGTGCAAGTGATTATACATCATCCATATTTTACTGTGCTTTAATCTATTGGAAAACTATTGTGAGTCATTGTTGGACTCACGAACCCTCCAGAATAAAACTCTTGGTTGTACTCAGACAGAGGAGATAAGTTTTGCTCATACTTATTGATATTATTATTAAGACACTTATCTACTTTAACATTTACACCTTGATTAATAAATTGTTTGAGAAATATAACTGGTTCACACTATCTTTGTTGCGTGTGGAAATAGAACCAAAATTAATAGTTATTCTTTCGGGACCGACAAATATGGAAACTATCCTAGAAGGAACCAACAAATAAAAGTTGACAGTTTTTTCTTTCGCTGGTGGAACAAAATACATAAAGACAAAGACGACAGCTGCGAATGAAACGGTGATGATTAGAGTGGTGGTAACAGTGGTAATAACAATAACGGCAACAGAGGTGATGAGTTTGTAGTTGAGAGTGATATCGTTGAATGTGGGTGAAGGCTATTTCAGATATGGTAGAGCACCTTGTGCCCAGGCCCTTTTTCCTGACATGCACGTGAGTAAATGATATTCTCAAATCTTTGATTGAATCTTGTTCAGAAAAGCTAACTTCTCGCTTATTTTTCAATACAAACACCATGAGCTTTGTTATAAAAGAAGAATAACGCTTCAAAAGTATGTACTTTGCTTTGGATCCGGTGTTAAATATTGTAAATATAAATACATATATTATATAAATATCTAAATTATATCACGTATAATTTCATCTATATTATATTGTATTAATATTTATTTATTTTACATTCTGTTTGTAACAGAACCTTGCTGAAATTTCAGCACGACAAACAGGCTGAAACTAAGCCCGGGTTGAAATTGCTCCATGTAATTGTCCTCTTAGCATCATAAAAAACTACTTGATGGCTTTTTCAAAAATTGAGGAGACGGCTCATCTTCAGTCGTGTTTTCTGTAATCAAGGAATAGATAAAAAGCAAGCCTAAATGTGTGTTTCTTGATATCAAAATCAAACTTAAGCTTTAATAATCCATAGAAATCAAATATTTATCTTCTTCACATGTAATTCTTATATCTCTTTGACATTTACCAAACTGAAAGCAAACATGTGTTTATTAATTGACTTACTTACTGAAATATCTATTGTAACGGCCTTTCAGGATTTGCCACGTTCTTCCTTCAATGATCTAGAGAAATTTAGATCAGGCAAATTATATCAAAGTGCTGATCCCATTTTACGAAATAATCGTCAATGCATTACATTTTCTTTTCATTTTTTCCAAAAGTTGTTGCCGTACACTTTTCTTTAATGTTCTTTTATGTACGTTAACAACTTTTGATCTTCCTCCGCTGTGTAATTCCTTAAAAAAATGAAATAAATTTGACACCATTTATGATTGTAACAATTTGCCTAATAATTGAATATTTAAATAGTTACTTAACACCAAACAGTCGAGTGAACAAATGATCATTCAAAATGAATAAGTAACAAAACCATAGATGTATTGAAAATGTGCATTGACTAGGTTTATTTTTGTTCCATGAAATCGTTAAAGTCTTCCCAAGGAAATAATACAATGTTTGTTGGTTCAAACCTTGTTTGCCTGTATTTTACAGTATTTTCGTGCAAGACAGTACAATGTTAGTGTGTATATTCACACTTCACTGGACAGAAACTAAAGAACTCGAAACCGCACAGACTAAACATGCATGCGAATTTAAACAAGCTTGGTACAGTAAAGACAAAAGTTTTATACACTCCTATATATATATATATATATATATGCAAGGTGTATATACAACGTACTCCCGGCTATCACCACAGTGCAATGGTGACTCCTGCACTTGGGACACAGGACGTACCGTTATATATAACGAAAATAGTAATTATAAAAACCTAACAGGCAATGTCAAACATGCACTATTTTTGTCCTTTCTTCTGATAAGCTCTTCATCCTTCTGTAAAGCTTTTTCTATCTGCTAATTAAGACGAGCATGTTATCTATAGCAGTTTAGCCAAAATTGTGAGGATTCCTTTCCAGCTTCAAGTTGTAAATAAAGCTCCAATATACAAAAGCAATTGTCCATGTTCCATTTTACTTTAATCCTTCGTTACGCTCTATGTGATGATTTACTTATTTTTGAATAATTAAAACCATTCTTGTATATAACACATCCATATGTCAATATTCTTTTCATTTCTTGATGATTCTCCTCGTGTCCTTTAGTTCCTATTCAGCTCTTCTATTCGTCCTCGACGAGCACTATCCTCTTTATGTCGTTTATTTTCTTTGCCATTTAGTTTTCTTGTTTGGAAAACATATGTCTTATATGTGTCTCTGTTTTTGTTAGTATCTCTGGATTGTCTTCTCATGTTGTATTTCTATTGCGATTCATTATTCTTATTTTGTTGTCTTGCCTGGTAGACTTTGAGTTATCTTTGTGCTGGTATTTAATTCGTTTGTATTAGCTTTATGCTTCATGATTCTCCTCGTGTTCTTTAGTTCCTATTAAGCTCTTCTATTTTTCCTCGCAGAGCACTATCCTCTTTATGTCGTTTCTTTCTTTGCCATTTAGTTTTCTTGTTTGAAAAACATATCTCTTATATCTGTCTTCTCATGTTGTATTTCTATTGCGATTCATTATTCTTATTTTGTTGTCTTGCCTCGTAGACTTTGAGTTATCATTGTGCTGGGATTTAATTCGTTTGTATTAGCTTTATGGTCAGTAAAATCGCAATGCAAACGCTTAGTCTTCGGCATTTAGTTTTCTTGTAGGGATAACCTATGTCTTATATCTGTCTCAGCTTTGATTGTTAGTATCTCTGGAATATCTTGTCATGTTGTAGTTGTATTGCTAATTCGCTTCATTATTTTTATTTTGTTGTCTTGCTTCGTAGACTTTGAGTTATCCTTACGCTGGGATTTATATATCATTATATCCATATACATTTGAATACATGAAAAGGCTTTATAAGGCTTGTTTCGTCGGTACTACGTATTATTGATGGTTTTGTTTGGGTGCTTTGCGTTTTGTTGTTTTGCTTTGTAGGCTAATTTGGGTTTCGTTATTGTTGGTCAATTTGGCTATATATATGTTCTTATATTCAAAGTGGTATATATCTATCTGTGACCTTCCTGAAAGACTACTGCTTCATTTGTTGGTTGCTGGGACAAACTTTTATTTCCGATCTTGATGTTCAGTTTGCAAAATATTTTCAAACCTTGTTTGCCTGTATTTTACAGTATTTTCGTGCAAGACAGTACAATGTTAGTGTGTATATTTCCACTTCACTGGACAGAAACTAAAGAACTCGAAACCGCACAGACTAAACAAGCATGCGAATTTAAACAAGCTTGGTACAGTAAAGACAAAATTTTTTATACACTCCTATATATATATATATATATATGCAAGGTGTATATACAACGTACTCTCCCGGCTATCACCACAGTGCAATGGTGACTCCTGCACTTGGGACACACGACGTAAGGTTATATATAACGAAAATAGTAATTATAAAAACCTAACAGGCAATGTCAAACATGCACTATTTTTGTGCTTTTTTTCTGATAAGCTCTTCATCCTTCTGTAAAGCTTTTTCTATCTGCTAATTAAGACGAGCATGTTATCTATAGCAGTTTAGCCAAAATTGTGAGGATTCCTTTCCAGCTTCAAGTTGTAAATAAAGCTGCAATATACAAAAGCAATTGTCCATGTTCCATTGTACTTTAATCCTTCGTTACGCTCTATGTGATGATTTACTTATTCTTGAATAATTAAAACCATTCTTGTATATAACACATCCATATGTCAATATTCTTTTCATTTCTTGATGATTCTCCTCGTGTCCTTTAGTTCCTATTCAGCTCTTCTATTTGTCCTCGAGAGCACTATCCTCTTTATGTCGTTTTTTCTTTGCCATTTAGTTTTCTTGTTTGGAAAACATATGTCTTATATGTGTCTCTGTTTTTTTTGTTAGTATCTCTGGATTGTCTTCTCATGTTGTATTTCTATTGCGATTCATTATTCTTATTTTGTTGTCTTGCCTCGTAGACTTTGAGTTATCTTTGTGCTGGTATTTAATTCGTTTGTATTAGCTTTATGCTTCATGATTCTCCTCGTGTTCTTTAGTTCCTATTAAGCTCTTCTATTTTTCCTCGCAGAGCACTATCCTCTTTATGTCGTTTCTTTCTTTGCCATTTAGTTTTCTTGTTTGAAAACATATCTCTTATATCTGTCTTCTCATGTTGTATTTCTATTGCGATTCATTATTCTTATTTTGTTGTCTTGCCTCGTAGACTTTGAGTTATCATTGTGCTGGGATTTAATTCGTTTGTATTAGCTTTATGGTCAGTAAAATCGCAATGCAAACGCTTAGTCTTCGGCATTTAGTTTTCTTGTAGGGATAACCTATGTCTTATATCTGTCTCAGCTTTGATTGTTAGTATCTCTGGAATATCTTGTCATGTTGTAGTTGTATTGCTAATTCGCTTCATTATTTTTATTTTGTTGTCTTGCTTCGTAGACTTTGAGTTATCCTTACGCTGGGATTTATATATCATTATATCCATATACAATTGAATACATGAAAAGGCTTTATAAGGCTTGTTTCGTCGGTACTACGTATTATTGATGGTTTTGTTTGGGTGCTTTGCGTTTTGTTGTTTTGTTTTGTAGGCTAATTTGGGTTTCGTTATTGTTGGTCAATTTGGCTATATATATGTTCTTATATTCAAAGCGGTATATATCTATCTGTGACCTTCCTGAAAGACTACTGCTTCATTTGTTGGTTGCTGGGACAAACTTTTATTTCCGATCTTGATGTTCAGTTTGCAAAATATTTTCAAACCTTGTTTGCCTGTATTTTACAGTATTTTCGTGCAAGACAGTACAATGTTAGTGTGTATATTTACACTTCACTGGACAGAAACTAAAGAACTCGAAACCGCACAGACTAAACATGCATGCGAATTTAAACAAGCTTGGTACAGTAAAGACAAAATTTTTTATACACTCCTATATATATATATATATATATGCAAGGTGTATATACAACGTACTCTCCGGCTATCACCACAGTGCAATGGTGACTCCTGCACTTGGGACACAGGACGTAAGGTTATATATAACGAAAATAGTAATTATAAAACCTAACAGGCAATGTCAAACATGCACTATTTTTGTGCTTTTTTCTGATAAGCTCTTCATCCTTCTGTAAAGCTTTTTCTATCTGCTAATTAAGACGAGCATGTTATCTATAGCAGTTTAGCCAAAATTGTGAGGATTCCTTTCCAGCTTCAAGTTGTAAATAAAGCTGCAATATACAAAAGCAATTGTCCATGTTCCATTGTACTTTAATCCTTCGTTACGCTCTATGTGATGATTTACTTATTCTTGAATAATTAAAACCATTCTTGTATATAACACATCCATATGTCAATATTCTTTTCATTTCTTGATGATTCTCCTCGTGTCCTTTAGTTCCTATTCAGCTCTTCTATTTGTCCTCGCAGAGCACTATCCTCTTTATGTCTTTTTTTTCTTAGCCATTTAGTTTTCTTGTTTGGAAAACATATGTCTTATATGTGTCTCTGTTTTTTTTGTTAGTATCTCTGGATTGTCTTCTCATGTTGTATTTCTATTGCGATTCATTATTCTTATTTTGTTGTCTTGCCTCGTAGACTTTGAGTTATCTTTGTTCTGGTATTTAATTCGTTTGTATTAGCTTTATGCTTCATGATTCTCCTCGTGTCCTTTAGTTCCTATTAAGCTCTTCTATTTTTCCTCGCAGAGCACTATCCTCTTTATGTCGTTTCTTTCTTTGCCATTTAGTTTTCTTGTTTGGATAACATATCTCTTATATCTGTCTTCTCATGTTGTATTTCTATTGCGATTCATTATTCTTATTTTGTTGTCTTGCCTCGTAGACTTTGAGTTATCTTTGTGCTGGGATTTAATTCGTTTGTATTAGCTTTATGGTCAGTAAAATCGCAATGCAAACGCTTAGTCTTCGGCATTTAGTTTTCTTGTAGGGATAACCTATGTCTTATATCTGTCTCAGCTTTGATTGTTAGTATCTCTGGAATATCTTGTCATGTTGTAGTTGTATTGCTAATTCGCTTCATTATTTTTATTTTGTTGTCTTGCTTCGTAGACTTTGAGTTA